TTTTGTTATTTATGGTGAATTGATGCTTAACTTTATACATATTTCGTTTGTTACGTGTAACTCGAGACAAAACAATGAAATTGGATAGAAGAGCGGGAAATTCTCTAATTTGGGCTTGATCAAAAGTTTGGGGACTAAATAACAAAGTACCAAGAGTTAATTCAGACCTAATGTTGATGATTTAAGAAGAGCTAGAAGCAATTAAATGGTATTGGAGGATGAATGATCAATAAAATATCAAATATGAATCAAAAGGAACGAAGAGTGAACTCTAGGGATCAAAGTGCAACACTTAGAAAATTTACATAGCGGCGCGCGCGAGGGGCTTGATTTTCACATGCAGAGAGCATAAATGATATGTGGCGCGTGCGCAAGAAAGAAAACCCCGCGCGCATGGGGCATTTTTCGAAAAAAATCGGACAGATTCATTTTTTGACACAAACTCTTATGGAAATAAAATCTATCATACTACTTAATTTAGGGGGACGAACGAAATGGGGTTTTTTTCTATTAGACAACTCAAAGGTGCTTGCAAGGAGAGAAAATCTCAAGAGGCAAAGATCAACAAAAGCAAATGCAAGAAGATTAATAAGGATTGGGGGAAGAACTCGTGCAACAAAACTAGTTTTTTCTCTTATTCCTTACTTCTTCTCCATGTTTTTTATTGTGTATTTTATCATGTCAATCAATTCAATTATGAATTAAACTTTGAGATCTAAGGTTTGATGTAACCTATTTGAGACATGTTTCGATTCCAATGCAATTATTTCCTTTGATTTTTCTAAAATTTATTTATGTTGTTTTTACTTAATACTTTCAATTGCCTGATCAACAATTGAATGATTCGATATTTTAAATTTAGCACTCGAAAAAGGAAAATTTAGGCACGATCTAAGAATAACATAACCTAGATATCGTAGGTTTCGAGAGAAAGCATGAATCTTTGAGGCTAATTCCATTTAAAGAACCAGGAGCTTTGATAATTTCTACATGTTTAATTTGGAATAGAGATATTGGGATTAAAATATAGAAGTAAGTTCTATTTGATACTCGAGAGAGGAGATAGAATTAATTTAGGGTTTTTGCCTCTAAATTCGGAAAATAGTTGATGGAAATAGTTATAGAGGTTCAAAAACATCGTCGAGAATACGGTGAAGTCATTCCCTAGGCATTCATAATCTGATCGAGTTTTTAGAAATTGCTTTACCTTATTTGCGCTCTTTAATTCATGTATTTTAGTTAGTATAAAATCATCCATTCAAAACTCGATTGTCTAAATAAAGTGAAAAGTCGAAATCATTATTGTATTCAGTAGGATTCAAATATCAATCCAGACACTTTTTATTTCATCAATATGCTACAAAACTTGACACCGTACACTTGCGATTAAATCACATGGCACACACCCCATTTCGAACCATGCCCAACCAAAAATCATATCAAAGTTGGTGGAAACCCCACTCCACTCACCTATATATTCATTCACAAACCTTCAAATTTTCACACCTTCCCAATGATAGGGATGACAATGGGCCAAGTGGAGCCGGCTCCGCCCTTTAACTCACGAGCTCGGTTCAGGCTCGTGGCGAGCCGAGCGTTGCTTCGGGGTGAGCTCGTGAGCTCACGAGCCACAGAGCTTGTGGGCCGAGTCGAGCCCACGAGCCGCACGTGCGCTCGTGATTTTTTTAATTTTTTTTTGATAAATTTGCACATTTTAGATCTTTTTTTAAAAAAAAATTCATATTTTTTGACAAGCTCATCAAAATGGCTTGCAGGCTGTGTGCCCACGAGCTGACGAGCCCAGCAGGAAGATGATAACAACCTAAACCTCATGAAATTGGATGTGATAACTGGAGAGAATGAGAATCTTTTAAAGGCGTCTAGCCAGGATTTTTGATCTAGACACTGAAGATAAAGAACAAAGTCACATTGAGAGTATAATGGATTACAACATGCATTCCAAGTAGAAACTAAGGGTCCATTTGATTGCAAATATGAAATTTGGGTGGAAAGAAAATGAATTTCAAGGAATTAAATTGTTTAGAAATTATTTTATTGGGAATTGTTAATTATTATGTTTGATTGATATAATTTTCCACCTGAAAAATGTTGATATAAAAGTTTCTTTTCGTGTTCGTTTGACTTTCTTTTTCATGGAAGGTGTCAATTTAAGGGATATCATCTTTTATAATTATTCCTAAAATTTGTTTCTATTGTAAAAAAAAAAGGATTTCCAAGAAAATAAAAAATATTTAAAAATCATCTATCTTGTGGTGTTTATTTGATTTTGTTTTACATAAAAATTGTTAATTTAAGGGATATCCTCTTTTACAATTATTTCTAGAATTTGTTTCAATTGCAAAAAATTAAAAAAAAATGAAAAACCAATTTCCACCATTTTGATGGGAGTTGTTGGACTATCAAACATAGCCTTATTAGACAAAAATATTTGACATGTCTTTTCCATTGTCGTGAGGGCACTTTAATTGTGATTTGGAAGTTGTTCGGTTATACACGGAACATGCCTATTTCTGAAGTGGTTAGTTTCTCTTCGTAAAAGTTCATTTTGATTTGAATGGATGTAGTCAACTTAGAGTAGTCCACCTGCTTGTGTGGGTATGTGTAAAAATTGACGCTCGTTAAGCAATTACTATATTCTGGTAAATAGTAAAATAGAAAACCAACTGACAGGGTGTTGAAAATCGAAAGGAAACCAATGTAATATGCATCTCTATATTCAACACATGATTTCATGCACGATTATATGTGAACATCACCATATTGAATACATCATTTCATGCATGATTCTACGGACAGCTCATGTATTTCATGTGGAGACAATATTGTGGTTTTGAATTATTGACACAAATGTAATTTTGACTTTTTTTTGAATTTTTATCGCTTTTTTTATATTTATGGTACTTTCAACTTGTAAGATGTTCTTTTTTTAAAATAAAGTTATATCCCATGTTTAAGTTATAGAAGTAAAACGTAACACAAATAGATAACGTGTAGAAGAAAATAAACCGTCTCTGGATCTATTTTTAGGTTTTGATTGATATTTCTCACTTTTTTAAGTGTTTGTTGGTTTTTTTGTTTTTTGTATCTTTTTTAATTTCTGTCACTTTTTGCCACATTATTGAAATAAAAATGAATTTTTGAATAGTATAATGATGAAAAATGTGTGGTTAAAAATAAGAAAATATTTTGAATTTGCGTATAATATTATATTATTAAATAATGTGTGGTTGAAATGATATCAAATCACTGTTGAAAAATATATATTTTTTCAAATAATGTGGTTCAAACAAGATCTTAATGTTACACAATAATTTTTAAGCCTTAATGTTACACAATAATTTTTACTTTTTTTTTTTTAAATTTTCGTCACTTTCATAAAATCTCTATCACTTTTTTGAGTAACAAACATCATTTTTTAATTAAAGTAAAAATGTAAAACTTAACTTAAAAAGTGACATCCTGTCACTTAAGTTTACAAAGTATTTTTTATTTACAAAATACTTTTCATATACTTTTTTAAAAGACCCCTAATTTTAGAGGTATATTTGTAAGTTGCCCTTCTTACATTATTATTGATGCTTGTGCTTGTGCTATATATATATATATATATATATATATATATATATAACGATTTATATAATGATTTACATATATATAATATAGTGAGATATGATTGGATCAAAATTCTTTCAATCAAATAGAAAAAAATTTCTTCTCCCTCTTTTTAACACCTATTTGTATATAAACAAAAGTAACTCGTTATTCTATTTTTGAACGATTGTACTACATATATACATACACATAATTTGATGAGATATGATTGAGTTAAATTTTTTTTCTAAACAAATAAATAAAAACTTCTCTACTTATATTTTTAAAAGGCAAATAAAAGAAAAATGAGAATATGAATATGGTAACTCGACCTCGTCTTCAATTTCATCCCCATTCCCATTTGCATGCCACGCCACACTAGGACGGATGTGGGCGAGGGCAGCACTGGGCCAGCACTGGGCTATAGCCCAGTGCTGTCCAAGCCCATATCCATAAATAATTGACAAATTGTGAAGAAATTGAGAAGAAAATAACTCATAACCCACGAACAATAAAAAACACAATTTTTATAACCCACCAACAACAACAACCCAATTGTAACAAGTCCAGTCCATTCATTCCAAATTTTATTTTTGATAGTTAATCCAGAATACACTCATTTTACAATATTGATAACTAAATGATTATCATTTTTCCAATTCATTATTTCAATTTTATTTCTTTTCTTTATAATATTTACCTTTTAGAACTAATTCATTAGCATTTGTCTTCGAATTTAATGAAGAATGTGAGGATGTAACCCTCGTTAAAGAAGACAAGTAAAAATAGGTAATGATAAGAAAGGTATTTTTTCTTTTGTAGGGATATTTAAGCATATTGGTTTTTTATGCATTTTAAAAAATGGAAGAAAATGAATCATGCAAAGACGGCATTTTATAACGAAATGGATGATGATTTTCTTGGTGATTGTATGATATTCTACATCGAACGAGAATTTACTCTAACATTAGATGTAAATTTTATTTTAGATGAATTTTATCTATAAAATCTCTTGGACACAACTTTAATAGATAATTTTATATTATGTGTTTTCTATTAATTATTAATCTTATTACTACTACGTTTACTTTTTAAAAAAATTTGCCCCCGCAATGTTAATTCCTGGCTCTATACCGACGCCACACCACACCGTGCCACGCCACCCAACTCACCCATATCTACAAACACTACTTGCCACCTAAAATGTTGTAACATAACCTTCAAAAAAGGTTCAAAGAAGAGTTTTTCACTAAAGATTCAATTTTTGGTCACAACTTTTTGACGAAAAACAAATTCATCTGGAAAAACAAAAACTAAAAACTAAAAACAGAGAACGGAATATTTTCACCTTTGGTCCCTAAGCTATTGACATTTGGTATGCAACCTAATGTCATTAAAATCTGCCAATTCGAACATTTTCTTGGCATAACCCAACTCTTCGTAAACCTAATCTGCCAGTTCCGAAAATTCCGTCCACATTTGTATTTCTATCCTCACCATTCGCGAAATCGAGTTTTCTTCCAGCCCTCAAGACTTTGGGGTAATATAATATGTTTGGATAATTAGGTTTTTGCGTTTATTTTTGATTTACTAGTGTAATTTTGTGCTGAAGAACAAGAACCGGTTTTCCTGCGCTAAAGTAATTTCATGTGCTAATAGAGATTTCCTTTTGCAATAATTATTCTGTCTAAAGAATATTAACCGATTGTTTAGCGGATATACTGCCTACATTAAATTATTTTCTCGAAAAAGATTTATACTTCATGAAATTTGATAATACTCATAATAGATGCCGTCTGCTGAATATTGTTACCTTTTAACATCTCTTTCTTGGGATTTCTATGGAGGGGGTTTGTTGTTGGCGTTCTTATGGCAGTTTTTCCGTCTTCCTTTTGGGGTTTGGGATTATTGTTATATATGAAGTTACACCTTTTATTATAATATATTTAAATACGCTATCCAAGTAATTTATGTTTTAAATTTTTAATTGTCGACTATTTAAATGATTGTAGCTTTTTATCAAGGAAATAATGTGTGAAACTTTCAGAAATGGGGTTTGGCAATGACCGCACACAGACAAGCACAGCATCACAAGTTAAACGCAAAAGAGATGCTCCGAGTGATCAAGACGCGTATTATGAAGAAAGATTGAGGAGAACGATTTTAGAAAGTGCATGGAGAGAATGCTATGAAAGGTACGAGGGGAGAATGAAAGCCATGGACGACCAGTTGGCCATTCTGCGCTTCGAGGTTGAATTTGTCCGATCTAAGGTAGCTCGGACTGAATCCCAAGTAAGCCCTGGTATACAGGAAAGGCATATTACGAAAACACTTAATAGTATGTCATTCTACTGTTTTTGGTTGCATATCTATCTATTAAAAGTTACTATATATATGTACATATTTATAGAACAATGCTACAGGTACAGAATTTTTTGACAAATTTTTTTTACATACAATACATGGCACAACATCATTGGCAGATGGGAAAAAAAAAAGAAAAAACAGTCCAATCATGTTTTGCTACATCAGTGTCGGTATAAGTTTTGTTAAAATTTTTCTATACTCATGGCTTTATTGATATTTATATTAGATAATGCCAGCATCCAGTTCACAAATTAATGCAACTATCTGTTTTTAAAAATATGACCTAATTTTCACTTTATATGCAAATATGTTGCCCACGTGCTAAATTTTGGTTATGTGATGGAAAATGCACGAAACTTTCAGAAAATAGGGTTTGATTCTACACCCTGTGCGGACAATGGCCGTGTGCGGAAAATGAGGTTAGGTCCTATGCCACCACAAGTTAGGAGCAAAAGAGATGCTCCGAGCGAGCTTTACGAAGAAAGATTCCAGAGAAGAATGAAGGCTTTCGATGATCAGTTGGCCTTTCTACGCTCTGAGGTTGAACATTTGCGATCTCAGGTAGCTTGAACTGAATCCCTTGTGGCATCCAGTTCACAAATAAATGTAACTGCCAGCGAAAAAGTTCAGCCTTTTACAACAAGATCAGGCTTGTGATGTTAATTTTCATTTATGAGTTATAAGTGGACTCGGAAATTTAATCTTACGAAGCATTTACATATGAAAAAGAAAGTGACATAATTTTCTTTTATAGCCAGATATTCAACGCATACACTTCATTTTGGTCACGTGATGACAAGATTCTATATCAGATCTCATTTCTTGTAAATGTCACTGCATTTTATTGCATGTAATGAAAAGACTTTCTCGTGTATTCATAATTCTGATAGTCACACGACTGTTAAAAGCTAAAATGAAGATAGATTTAAATATGAAAAAGTGGAAGAACAAGCAAGCCGTGGTGTGTTTCTAGGCTAAATAACTAATAGTGTCAAAGTAATATCATTCTCAATCTACCCAATTTGACGATTTAAAAGCTATGTTTACTGCCACCCTGTTCACTGAGTTGAAAGCGAACACAAATTGTCAGGGGCTGTTCAAGTCTAATTAGTTGGCGAGATCTCTTTTTGACTCATGATCGGTAAGATCTTTTGGATTCTTTCTTTCCTTTATTTTTTTAATTTCATTAATGTATCAACCGTGGTTAGTTATTGCTTGACATGGATATTTAATTTCTATTTTGCACTAATATAGATATCTTTCCTTAGGTTTGAGTTAAAGAATTGCATTTCAGCATAATATATTTCTGGTCATATATGGTGACTGTTGAGTAATAATCTCACTATTTCACGTGTCACGTAGTTAAGAACTGTGTAGAGCACCACATTAAGGTTTTTTTTTTTAAAGTTCGCTTCTGTTTTGACATTGAAATCTAACCCTACAGCGATCTTCGACACTTCTACAAATAAGATACCAAAAGGTAAGAACGTGAACAATGGAAGCTGCAAATAGATTGTAAACTAAGGCTGTTATAAACAATGGAAAGTAAAAATATGTGAAGAGGGAGAAGACAACGATGAAACTAAAGGTCAACTTGGGTGACATTTAGAACTCTAGATTTTCCAGCCTTGTGTGTCCAAAAAGTTATGAGCTTATTTGTGGAATTTTGATTTCGAATTGTAGTGATCAAGATAATAGCATTCCCTAAAGTAATTATTGTTGCCTTCACTAAAGCATGAGCTATTGTGCAGCCATCTGTTCTTTTCACCTCGTCTCACACTTCTTCAAAGATGATCACTTGTTTATGCCAGTCTTGATTTTTTAGACTATGCAATTAGATATTTCTCTTAGCCAAATATGTTGTGGTTTTTATGGATGAATTTTATAGTTTGGTTTGTGAATAGCTCATTAAGAACCTTTTCTATTTAGTCATTTGATTTTTTACACTTGTCTCTTGATTGTGTTGTCAGTGCTCCTGTTGTCCTTCAAAACTTATGTTTATATGTATGTTTTTTTACATTATTAATACTTGCTTTATCGTACTGAATTCATATTTCTTTTCAGGCTACTGGGAGAGAGTAGCTGCTTGGCATTAATGATGTTTTGTAGATCTTGTCTATTTCATGTGGAAGACAATATTTTGCGAACTGTTAACGCTTTTGAATGGTGATTGCAATTTTTCAGATATTAGAGCTTGTTTAGCTCATTTATTGAACAGTATGGGGGTTGTTTTCTGCATTTGAAATTAGTTTTTGTCATTTTATAAAATAGAAATGAATTTCAAAGAACAGTTTAGAAACATTAGTTGCGAGCCATGGCAGATTAGGTTTATAACATTCTTCACATTGTTTATATGTGGTAAAGAGTAATTTTGCTGGTACTTTGCCATCATGAGTACTTGTTGCGCCCTTATTTGTGACAGTAAAAAGGGAATATGTAGCAAACGCTCTTTTCCATGGCTTGTGGGTACTTTTTGTCACAGCCAAAATCGACTCCCTTCCAGAATGGTACTCTTGGAATTGTAACTTTCATTGCACAAATGCCATGCATGTTTTGTGAAGGCTTAAGGCAAGCTCTAATATTCTTTTACACTGCAATCAGTGCCTTGCGATGTATAAGGGAGTAAAGTATGAGAATGACTGCTTGGTGATCTTTTCGCGCATTTCAATCTTGTACTGGTATTGTTCTAATTTTATTGGAGACTCCTGAATGATGCTTAAGGGAGTCTAGCATGAGAATTCTTGGCGATCTTTCCAACTGGGGACCTCAATTCTTTGCTGCCTTCGATTTAGTTATTTAATCCTCCCACTGGCGTTTTGAACTTCTTCCACATTGATATATTTTCCAGTCTCGATTCTTAAGATTGCTAACATCACGTTTAACCGTTTTGACAGATACATCCAACTCCTTATATAATCTTTTAATAAAATATTTGCTTTAGGCCTCGTTTCCCCTTTGGGAGAATTATAAAATATCTTGATGTGTTTTGGTCGGTATTTTTAGAAACGTAATGAATGGTGATGTGTGGAGGTCAAGTTTCGGCCGATGTGGGTCTAGAAGAGATTTAGGCATAAAAAGCATTGTTTTTATTTTAATATTAATTTAAATTTTTAATCAATTTAAAAATCATTTAATAATACATACAAATTATAGTATCAAAATGTTGTTTAAGAGCTTAACAAAATAAATATATTTTCTAACAATAAACAATTTATATTATAATAGTGTCAATTGAAATATTTGGAGAGTTTTTATTTTTTATTAATTAGTAAAAGAAGGAAAAACAATTAATTGACTTAATAAAATATAAATAACTATTTATACAATAATGCAAGACATTACAGTCAAAGAAAATGTACAAGTATTGCATTCAAATTAAAGGTAAAATACACTATAGTCAAATTAAAGGTACAATGTAATACAACTAAACCCAATAAATTCTTATCCTACATCAGAAGTTCACAATAAAATCCTTGAAGATGTCCTCTATAAATTAGTGGACCAATAAATGGGTAAGCAACATTTGGACTTTTTAATCTATTGGCCTAAAAGTTGAAAATTTCATAATTATTAATTTTTGAATCTTTCAATCTAGTTGACCTAAAAGTAAAACTTTATGTAGTGTTCAAAATTAATAAATAAAATAAATACTAATGCGCGTCTACGCGAGCCTAGGCACGCCTTAAAAAGGTCAACATTTTCGTTACTGCTAAATTAGCGTATAGATCTAAGGCTTGGCATTTTTGCCTTGCTTCACGCCTCGACAGGTTCAGACATGATCAAGGTGCACCATTTAGAACACTAGTTTTGATAACTCTTGTTGTGTGTGAAATATTTGAAAGAAAACCGATTGAATTGATCGATCACCAAATAAGTTTTATACATTGTCAGTTAATTCCATATTTGCATCCTAATTTTCATGAATTTTTTATGTTTCAGTCTCCTGTCAAATGTTAAAAGAGCTCATGGATTTAAACATGTTCTAAGTGTAAAACATGTCTAAACATGGAGGTCAAACTTGACAAGTCTCAACGAGACCTAAGCGTAAAATAAAATCTTCTTATTTTTAATATTATTTTAAATTTTCAATCATTCAAAAATTATTTAATAATTGAAATAATATACACCAAACATCTAAAATTATAAAATATTATTTTTGCTTAATAATTTCTACAATTAGCCTTTACTTAATAGTTTCTACTGTTAGCCAAATATACAATTTTCAAAGGAAAATTTTGAAACTAAAATCAAATAAAAGGCTTAAAAAAAGAAAAAGAAAAAGAAAAAGGAAAAAAAAACTAATAAAACGTACCTAGACACTTCTAGTCTCACATTAAACGATCAACTTGAAAGTTGATCGCTTAATTTCGCTCTTACTTTTAAGACATAATGTTTCGTCTACACCTAAACGCACTTTTTAGAACACTGATTTTAACTTTTAAATTCGCTAGTTCAATACACTGGCCATCATCTTAATATATGCAAACAAAAACGTACACAGAACACAGTACTCAGCTCATTTCAATCATTGAGCATGATCCACAAATCAAATTTAAATTACATTGAATCAACAAAATAGGAAGTTTGAAGGCCAAATTCTTTTATTATGAATTTGACACAAGAAAATGTTACAAAACAAAGTACCTTTCAGCGCTTAACAAACCTAACAATATTAGCAAGCGCCGTTCTTAAACTTCTGATACCAGCACCAGTTTTCGAGCTTATCATCATCTGCATTTATATACAAAGGCCACACTATTTTTAGTTCGTTAAACAAGAAAAATAAACATTAAAACAATGAATAAACCAGCCATATCCTTCATACCACAGGTTGAACTGCAGACTTCTTTGCTTTGAGGCTCTATAATATCAGACAGGAACCAGTCATGGATCAGAACGGTAAAGATTTCAACTTTTTTTGATTCAGAATACGGATAATACATTTACCTCCTCAATTTGCATTGCTCTGCGAGCCACATCAATTGGGAAAACCAAATCTGTCTTTGTCAAAACAATTTGGTACTTAGTCTGTGACCTGTAAATTCGGGAAACAATATCACAGATTCACGGTCGTGGCAAGATAACACTTGAAATGAACAGTGTAAAAATATAAAACTATGAAGTCCCCACCCATCCTTTGAATAATTTAAAGAAATGTAGAAAGAGTCAGTAAAGCTATACAGACATGAATTAAGTACATAAACGCATCACGTTTTTACCTTTCCATCAAATCAATAATTTCGTGATCCCTTGGTTTCATACCCCATTTTGTGTCTACAAGAAGACACACTCGCTTTAGACCGACACGTGTAGACACATACTCTTTCACCTACAAGATGAAGTGCATGAATAATAAGGGAGTGGAAAAAGAATTTCTAAAATAACGAACCAAAATAGTTGAAACCAAATATAACAAATACAAAGACATATCAAAGCATAGTCAACAAATGTAGACCAGTTTCAGTAGAGAAGTGATAAAAATATCACCAAGTTCAAGTACCATCAATTTTAACTCAAAATTATCAATTTATGACATATTTTCTTTCCCCAGTTTCAGATTTCCCATCACCAGAATAATGATGCAGTTTCCTCCTAAAAACTCTATGCTCAACTATGAATCAAATACAACAGTAACGCAGACACCTTGCATCATCTAGGATATTCTTTGGCTAAGTGATGTAATATTGTTTCATTTAACATTAGAATGCTTCAGTTATTTCTAATTGGGTGTAGCCTATCACACTAATCGTGATAAACGATGATATTACATATTTCATGTGATTTTAGTATATACAATGAAGCATATACAATGAAAGAACTTCAAGAGTCGGTCTTGTTAGGACCAGTTATTTACTCGAACTTTAGTGGTAAACACTGTTGAATATTTATATAGAGCAAATCTCAGTTTATAAATATTTTCAAGCATATTGACTTTTATCTAAATATACATACACACGTGTTTCCTTTTGCTTAGCACCAACTGACAACTGTGATCATCTGAACTTATCAGCTGTTAATGCATAGAGATGATGTGCCATAGTATTTATTAAACAAATAAAAAATCAACACAAAATGACAATGCTCATTCTCATACTCACAAGTGCCTCCCATTCTTCCTTGACTTCTTCTTTCGCATAAGCAAAACCATATCCCGGCAAATCAACTAAATGGAGTTTTGATCCAAGTTTGAAAAAGTTGATAGTCTACAAAATGATTGTAAGTTGTTATTATGCATATTCTGATAATTTCGAATTCAGTTATAATGACAAATATAGCACCTGTGTGAGACCAGGCTTGTCTGACGTCCTTACAACTCCCCATTGTCTAGTTAGTGCATTTAGCAAAGATGACTTCCCTACATTTGACCGTCCTAACAAACAGATTCACTTGAGTATTAAATCCAGTTAAGTTTGTCAAATAGTACCAGGACCTTCTTCCACACATCATCCTATATTTCAAATGCTTCATTGAAAATTACAGATCAATTCGAATCAATAGTAACATAATCCATGAGGAGAAAGGAGCATTAGTAAAACATTCATTATATAACAACTAATAATGCAAACTTCTGAAGAAAATAAGCAACCAATTTAAACAAATGAACGATCCCAAAAAAANNAACCCAAAAAAAAAAAAAAAAAAAAAAAAAAAAAAAAAAGAAGAGTTTATCACAATTGACTTTTTTGTGTTTCTTAACAGAAATAGTTTGTTCAACATACCTGCAAATGCAATCTCTGGAAATTCAGGAGCGGGGAATGATGATGAAATCTTAGCAGCAGCAAAGAATGTCAATTTATTTCTGAATACCTACAAAATAATCATATGTTAACACCTACAGAAAAACAAATATGACACAAGATGCAGTTAGTAAAAATTTGCTGATTTTATACTCATAGAAGTACACGAACTTGAGTCTTACTGGAGCATCAAATAGCTTAGTTTACAAGGAGAATTTAAATGACGGGAGAATAAACTGTTAATAGAGTGAACAGATAGTAGTATTTTATAATCATAATTAACTATTATAGTTCATGCTGAAGAGTAGAATTAAACCATACAAAAAGAAGTGGGTATTTTGGTGCATAAGATAGTTCAGTTTAGGTACTAAAATTGTTTAAGTTCAACCATATTCATAATGGAAACCATTTGAACATACCGGTACTTCAATCCGCTCCCTTTCTGAGCTTGTTGAGAAGGGAATGTTATCTAAAGGGGCAGAAAGCTCAATGCTGTAACCAGCCCTCCTAAACTCCACATCACGCCTACGGCCCAAAAACTGGAAAGAAGTGCTAAGAATCAACAAATCTCACACAAACATAAAACAAATAGATACAGAGAATAAAAATGATGTCAGTCAAGCATATTGGGCCTAGCTAGATAAATTACATTGTCTTCCACAAAGGAAAGGATAGAGGGGCTAGGACGTATGGCACGAAACTGTGCATTTTTTGACATTTCAGCATCATTTTTTTCTACTGAATCTTGGTTTTCTTCACTATTATCTGGAAAGCATGTGAGGGAAAATAAGTTAGAAGAAAAGAGGAATGAGTTTATCTGCAGAAGATAGCAATCGAAATTTTCAAACAGATGGGTAAGCATTTGCGCTACAGAGGTAGAAATTAGTTTGACAGCGTATAGTACACAGATAACATTCCAAGATAATCAACAGTATCATGATTTAGTTTATAAATACAAAAAGAAATCATCAATATATCCATAGAAAACTAACTTTATATTTTAACAAATTTGAGGAGGCTGCACCTTCAGCCGCAGGTGTTAGCTAGAACTGGTAACATTCCTGTAGGGTTGGATTGGGTGAGGAGAAGGGAAGCAACAGATTGAAAAGTAAAACATTCTAGTATGTGCCAAGTGTTGAAAACAAATGCCAAAGGGAATAACACTTGTCGGCTGCATTGCGAACACTGACACAGCAAGAACCCTGTACCTATCTGCTGAGTTGTATTCGTCATTGACATAACTATCGTCAAGCTAAAATATAACAACTAAACTGAATATTGCTTGAGAAATTCCACCATCATCTCATGGCATGCTTGCATTCCCCTTGGCATGAAGCCACATCCATGATAACTAGGTGGTATAAGAGATTGATCTATCACTCAAGAGCTTCTCATAATGCTGTTTGTAACATTTTTGGGTTGATAACAACTTACAAGTTAACCTATCATTTACAGACATCTAGGAACTCCGAATCACTAACAGGGGGAAAAAAACAATGAAAATCATTCCAACAAAATGCTGGCTGGATGATGTAGCTAAAAGGACAATGTTTGTTTTCAAAGACGCAATCTACTTTTCTAATTACTTTAGCCTTTTTGACATAGATAGTTCAGAGTGCTCACTCCATATAAACTTGAAAAACAACTCATATTTCAATCAATTTCAATAAAGAAGATGGACAGAACTAATTCTGTAATACGACTCATATACCAAGGACTTTCCACAGAGAATTCAATCTGTGAATCCACAGTGGGACATTCTCAATCATAAGTGCAATTTTGGGCCAAAGCCTTGATCAAAGTTGCCTAATAGAACTCTCTAATAGAATAAGATAGATGATAAATGGAATTAAAACTAAAAATAATACAAATTACAAATGATACTGACCTTTACTAGCTATGCTATCATCCAATCTCTTATTCGAGATATCATGAGGATCTATACGGATACCTTTCTTTTTTTTCTTTGGCCGATCCTCCATTACCTCGAAATCACTCGCTGAGCTCTTCTTGCCTTGGACCATCTTCTTGGGAGGTTTCTCAACAGAATAAACTACATGTTTTCTTTGACCATGATCTAATTTTTGGGTCAACAAATATTTGATTTTAGCATTTCCCCTCAGCATATTACTCTTAAAGCCATTATCTTCAACAATTTTCACTTTATTGGTACCCTGCACCTTGCCTCTCAATTTTTTCTTATCAAGTAACTCACTTTCCTTAGATTTTCTTCCTCCTGCAATTGAAGCTTTCCTTCTGGCTTCTTCGAATTCAGAAGATTTTGCTCCCGTCGTCTGCTTTCTTTTACCAGAGTCATAACTATCCCTATTTTCCATCCTCTTGGTCAAAGATTTCCTGTTGGGTATTTCTACATTGTTATCTAGTGCTCTTTCCCTACCAATATCATAATCAGCATAAATTCTCTTCCTCCTTCGACTAGAATTTCCCTCAATTACAGCTTCACACCCTTTGTCTCCATTTCTTGATTTCCAGTTCCTTTTGCTTCCCACCCCTTCTTTGTCTTCATATTTCAAATTCAAATTCTTTTTTCTTCCCACACCTTCTTTACTTGTTTTCTTATTCATATCAACATAAAATGTATCCCCATTTTTACTTCCTCTACTTTGTACCTTTTTGCTACTCTTTTCCTTCAATTCTACGACCCCGACACCATCTTTCGAGCCCTTCAATTTTCCAATAGCAACTTTCACTTTCTTCCTAAACTTATTATTGCTATTCCTTGAACCAGCTTCCACAGACATCCCTCAGAAATATCTAATATATCTGAAAACAACAAACAGAAAAAACCCTTAACTTGAAAAATGGCCGCAGTTAGAGTCTCTAAATCTTCCTCAACCTGGAACACAAGTAAAAATTCTGTACATAGCATAATACTTCAAATTTGAGAGAAGAAAAGCATTACCGTGAAAAATATTTCCGGCGTTCGTGCATAAAAACGATTATAATAAAAAGAGCATTATTGTTCAAGCTTTAACTCACTGAGTTTCCGCTTCTTTTGCCGCCTTCAATGCAGTGTTCTCTACTCTCTGCGCAGGTTTACTACAGGAAAGAAACGCCGTCGTTTGGGTTCGCAAGCGAATCGATCAATAAGAACAAAGAGGGAAATTGATACAAATAGCACTAGAAAAGGGCTTTTGACGTTTCATTAGCACTATTTATTTTTTATTCACGTGATTGCCACTCTTGAGTCTTGAGGATTAAATATTCCAGTTTTGCTGATTTTTCTTAAATGTTGGAACTTCAAAAAATTTCAATTTGCTATAGGACTTATCAAGAGTATAAAGTTGCATGTACAAAAAATCTGTAATAGATTTCCAACGGGGGGATACTTATTTCCTTGTGATTGACAGCTGTTAAATATTCCAGTTTTCTTAAATGTTGGATCTTCAAAAAATTTCAATTTGCTCTAGGACTTATCAAAAGAATAGAGCTGTACGTACATGAAATTTGTAGAAATTTGTTACAGATGATTTCTTATACGTGTAGTGAAGTTGTTATCAAAATAGTATTTCATTTGATGGTCACACGTTGTAAAAGCACGAATTTGAAGAATTAATCAATTTCTTACATCCATCATTTCATTTGTCATGTCATTAAATTCAACATCTGCTTGGTGGCTACTTTTTTTGAAAAAACATTTTTTTGACCTTTAACAACAATTTTTTTAAGAATGTGTGGTTAAAAAATAATAAGAAATTGACTTTACATATAAAATATTTTATTTTGTAAATATGTTATTGAAAATGAATATCCAGAAAAAAGAACTTCGAAAGAATGTGAGACAAATATGAGCTCGTTTATTTTTAAAATAACAAATGAAAAAGTGGTGAGCGGACTAACAATTTGGTAGGTTCTGCAACAACTCGAAAAATCTTCAAAGTTAAATGACAACTTGAAAATCTTTGAAAAAGTTTGGTGATAATTTGAAAAATTTTAGAAGTTCAATAAAAATAAGACCCTGTTTGGTTAAGATAAAAATTAGATTTTTAATAAATTTTGATAAAAAATTGATAAAAAATATGTTTTTAAACTAATAAAATATATGATAAAAATTAATTGTTAACTTTAACTTAAATTTTAATTCACTTTTATAATTCAACCAAGCAAGAGCTAAATAAACATTCGAGAAAGTTCAGCAACAAAAATATTTAGTTCGACCTTTTGCAATGTCAAAATCTTACCCCACTATTTCAATAAAAAATTAAAGAACCTTGCTACTTGAACAGGCCAACAGGCCACACATGCCTTGTTCAAACAGGGGGCCAAGTGGCACCCTTTTGGTGGGTGTCTTACCTGGCTGTTTCAATGAAAAATTAAAGGACCATGTTAATTGAGCAGGGCCAAATATGCCCTGTTCAAACAGGGGTCCAAATGGCACCCCTGTTCGTGGGGTACCTTTTCATATCAATACCTAAACCAATTGTAAAACATTGTAAATTATAGCTATTTCTAATTAATTTAACCAACTATAATTTTCAGCTTTTTAAATAATATTTCACTTGATATGCCAATCATTTACGGAAATATTTAGCAGTAAATAGTTTAACATTAAATTATAAACAACTTTAAACTATTACCAACAAACCTCATCATACGTAAAATTACTATAGGGAAATGACACTCGTACAAAATTTCAACACACACAGATCTCCCATCTTACATAAATATAATTCTATCATTTGCACCACCAGTGGTCGACCACTGCGCCAAACGGCTACGTACCACTTGCCACAACCATAAAACGGTAGCAAAATAACAAACAAATGTTACTAATATGTAAACCGTACAGGCTCCTTATAAATCCAACAAACTTGAAATTATATAAGTACAGATGACTTGATCAGTTGGTGGTAACAATCTTTCCCCTGTCGGAAGGATCGATGAGAATTTCATCCTCACGTGTCCATGGCAGTCAACTACGAAGAGCAGCAGCCACTCTTCTGGGCAACAGGTTGTCCACGAATCTGCACAGTGGCTGGCCTTGCATTGCTCGATGCAGGCTGACTTGCCATTCTGCACAAATTGCATACGAAAAAGTAACATAATACCCATAAAATAGAACTAAGAAATCTAAAAGGGCAATATGCGAGTGGGATTGACGTCAGTAGGCAAGAATTAAAGAAAACAAGACAGCACAATATGTAAAAATGATACCTATTCTTAATATCAGCAGACATTGCCATGAATGCCTGTTCAACATTGGTGGCATTTTTGGCACTGGTCTCCATGAAAGGAATGCCAATTTCATCTGCAAAAGCCTTTTTATGACAGGAAATAAAGGTTATGTCAGATAACACTAGTCTGCTCAAATACAATAAACTGGCAAAACAGTATAAATTTTACCTTAGCTGTTTCATAGGGCACGGCTCGATTCTCAGCAAGGTCACACTTATTTCCAACCAGAAGCTTGTTTACATTTTCACTAGCATAACGATCAATTTCATTCAACCATTGCTTCACGTTATTGAAGCTTTCTTGGTCGGTTACATCGTAAACTATCTGCCAGAAGAGTACACAGCAGATCATATAAAAAAGGGGCACAAAGGTCCATTGTAAGATGTAATAATTGAAAGAAACTTACTATGATTCCATGTGCACCACGATAGTAGCTACTAGTTATAGTTCTGAAACGTTCTTGTCCTGCAGTATCCCACTACAAGCAACAGAAGAACGGTGAGAGACATCCCGTCCATCAACAGTAAAAATAAATAAATAAATAACACAATCTTTACCTATCAAAAAAAAATAATAATAATAAAATAAAATAAAGAACACAATCTAGCAATACAATGTTGGATACACAGCAACAAAATATCCACATAACTCATCAGTCGAAAAACAATAATTACATGGAATAAGTTAAACGGACTCTCTAATGGCCGGCCATGCATGCAGTTGACAGGCATGTATAAAACATTCCTCAAGAGACCATTTCAGAACGTACGACTGATCCTAAATGGTCAAATTTTCAGTTAAAAATCAAAGCCTCAGTGTGGTTACAACTTACTAAAAGTTGCAATTGTGTCTAAGCATTACTCTTTACTGCAGCACCTCGGACTTTCCCTTTACATCCCAATATAAAACGCTATTAGAGCTCTCCAAGAGATTCTTTAAAGAGGAGATGTTCTATATTTTAAAGACCCTTAAAATCATGATCCAAGGGACTCTTTAAGCCCCTGTTTGGCCCCCATTAATTTTTATTCTATTATATTTCATTTCTCTCTCTCTCTTATTTTTAACCACAATCTTCCTTTTCAACTACTAATTTTCTAAAAAAAACACTATTCCACCCATTAATTTTTCCACAAAATGGGGGCCAAACGAGGGCTAAATTAACATTTTAATTTAGAGAATGGGTTTGGAGAGACAAACTCACTCTTTATAATTAAATGCATTCAAAGTGTTTCAATTTTCAATATAGGAAAATAATAAAATAATTTAGAAAAAAGCTAGTTAAACTAAAAGATAGATAAAAAATAATAAATATTTTTGGGGAGTAGTAAAATCAAGGGCCTGTTCAGTAGTGATTATGAGAATTGATTTTTTGACTGTTAAAGAAAAAAGTAGGTTCCACTTGTAAGAGAAAAAGTAAAAAATGATAGTTGAAATAGTGAAATAACGTCAAAAAATTGATTTTTGGGGTGAAAAATTGCTACAAAACGGGGGCCAAGTGTTTAAAATAAAGAGTTTGTTGGAATACTTCAAAATTTTAACTCTCTAAATTTATAGATGCTCGTCAAATGATAGAATATGCTCTTTAAAAATAAAAAATATCTTGGAGATGCTCTTACATTGTTAATTGAATTAGATTGAAGGACATGAATGGATATCCTCAAAAATTGAGACTAAAAGAAATCGAGAGTTATCAGTTATGTACAGCTTCTCATATCTATTTAATAAAATAAGCAATGGATGTAACTACATATAGCCCTTGTTTGAGCCCCAATTTTTCATTAAAATACATTTTTCAACAGTGATTTGACACCATTTCAACCATATATTTTTAATATAATAATATTACACGCAAATTCATAACTTTTCATTGTTTTTTTAACCACACATTATCTATCATAACACTATTTCAAAATGAATTCTTATAGAAAAATGAGGCTCAAACAACCCCATAATATTTCAGTTAGCTTCTTAAAATTTCTAAAAAAAATATTCATGTAGAAAGAAAATCAAATTTTAACTCTAACAACCATAAGGTTTTCATTAACATCAATTGGCTAACAAAACCATCCAAGAACCTTAACATAAGAATTTATGTTTACACTCTTTATAAGTTAATTAGTAGCCTCTACCAATATGTACCGAGAACAAATAAAAAGTACCACTACTCTTAAATCTTAATCATAAACAACAGGAATAATTCCATAGATAGTCTTAACTATGTTTAAACTAAAGTCAGAGCTCATATAGTTCAAACAAAAATTTAGGGTGCATTTGGTGGTTTACTGTTTTTAAGTTGTTTTCATTTTTCAGTTTTGCAACATCCAAAACATGTTTGGCATGGTATTTTGGAAAATGCATTTCTGAAAATAAGGTTGAATTTATAACGTAAAACTCAAAACCATTTTTAACATTTTGAATGTTTTCATTGAAAACTTTGAAAACACGCAAAACATGGAAAATATGCGTTTAAATAAAATTTTAAATATTAAAAATTTTTAAAAATAAAATTCTAAAAAAATATATAAAATTATAAATAAAATAAAAATATGATAAATTCAAAAATAAAAATTTTAAAAAATAATCCAAAATTCCGAAAATATTAAAATTCTAAAAAATTAAAAATTTTAAAAAATAAATTCTATAAAAAATAAAATTTCTTAAAAAATAAAATTCTAGAAAAATAAAAATAACTAAAGCTCTTAATGGTTATTTACATAAAAATTATAAAAATCATATATTTAAAGGAATATAGATAAACTATCAATCCACATCATTAATTTTTATTTCCTATGTTTTGCTAATTGCAATTTATTATTTATTTTTATTTTACTTTTGTAGCGGAAAAAAATATTGCCAGATTTACTAACTTTAAAATATATGTAATATATAATCATAAAATTGTTCTATTTTACCAAATTATCAAATTTAATGGAATAAAATAATATTATACAATTTCTTAAAATTTCAAACCAAACATATTTTCTAGTTTTTTGTTTTGAGAAACAGTTTTTCAGAATGACAATCCAAACATATTTTTTTCAATTTTAAAACAAACCTTAAAATAGAAATCTGAAATTGAATTTAAAACTCAAAATAAAAACACAAACCAAATAGGCCGTTAAATTCAAGATAAAAGAACCTCACAATTTGAAGTTTAATTGTCTTCCCATCTTGCTCCACAGTGCGTATTTTCTGGAACAATAGAAACATAATTCAGATGTGGAAAATTATGTCAAATACAAGTAACCAACCCAAGAAGATTAAGTTCTTACAAAGTCAACACCAATTGTGCTGATATAACTGTCCAAGTATGAATCATCCTGCATGCAGATTGGATATGATCAGCAACTAACCTAAGTTCATAAAAAAAGTCAATACATTGAGATTATCATTATTATTGCCGCTTCCACTTTATATTCAGAAATGGAATCCACTGCCTGCAATTATTACCAGCAGGCTAACTGATATTGCATGGTATTCGCAAACTAAAAAATAAAAAATAGCAAAAGGGAGTAGAAAGAACTTAATTGACTGGCAACTTGTTACTAGTACTTCTCATGCTGAATCTGAGAGCCATACTACTGGGCTGAAACAAACAAGCTCAGCCTTGACAGAGTGCAAAGAAGCCCTAGAACAAAACCTAGTCAGAAACCCTAAAGGGAAGTGATATTCCAAACTTTTCCATGTAGTCTTACAATCACAATTGCAACCTTTGTCAAGATGAGAAGGGTGTATTCACCATTGTCAATATGGCTTTTGTTTCAGTTTGTCAAATTACATCAGTTATATAAGAAAAAATAAAACAAATTGAAAATGTATTAGATAAGTAAGAGCATTCTTGATATTTAATTTAACATTCTGTTAGGTCTCGTACAAAATTCTAATGTTAATGTAATATAAAAAGCAATCATAGAGAAAGAATAAGAAAGAATTTCAAGAAGGATGTGCTGTGGTGCTGAAGTCAGCATTACAATGGAGAAAGCTAAATAACATCAAATGTCTTACAGCAAATCTGAGGAGAAGGCATGACTTGCCCACGCCAGAATCTCCAATTAATAGAAGTTTGAACAAGTAGTCACTGCAGAATTCAGCGTAAAAAATGTGGTGGTTAATTCTGTGCTCAAATGTGGTGGTTATATGACATTATGCAGTACGCATGACATACAATTGGATATAAAATAAGCAGGGGAAGCGAATGTTAGGATATATTCAAGAGCACTTGACTTGAGTGGACCAACAACATTAACTTTTCAAAACTCTTCAGCTGTAAATTGACACAATTTCAGATGCAGTGTGCAACCTTCCCTGTGTGAATCGAGGGTTTATTCTATCCTCCTCTATATAAAAGGTTAGGATAGGGACGTCAGTGATAGTTAGCTTGGCCTGACTTGACATGCTTCATAATTATTATTTATCACTATATACAGTAAATAAAATTTTAGAGGTTAATTTGAAATGAGCCCCTTCTAGGTCGAGTATTGGCGACTTCAACATATATGGTTAAGACTTGAGAGATCTAGGAATTTCCAAATAATAAATGCTCAACAAGTGACCTCAAAAGTAAACAAATACTTGAATTTTCATTTCTCATTACAAATAATAACATCCTATTTAGTTCCTGACAAAGTAACCAATCAAACTCGTTTAAATTATCAGCAGTTACAAAAAAACTCTCCAACATAAACTTTTTAAGCAAATCCTTATTACCACCAAAAATAAAGTAATCAATTCACGCCTTTTTCCACAGAGGAGCTTTGCTTCATTAGTAAAGGTTCAATTTCCTTATCCAAACCGTACGTAGACCCCAAGTCTTCCGGATTATATCGACCCTAGTTCAAAGTTTCTACTCCAAAACCAAATAAAAACATAAATTGAAACAATTGTTTGCGTACAACGACTAAAAAATCAAGTGACACAAATTATTCGAGTAACAAGCGAAAAAAAATCCCGAAGTTACGACAAACAATACATGTATGGATCTAATACATACATCAAGGGTGCAATACGAAAAACCAACACGTTCCAAACAAATTTGCAGCAGATCTAAATAAACTAAAAAAATTTACAAATTTTCAAGCCGTAGATTTAATTGTTTATCACGTTCAAATGGAGAGAGAGAGAGAGAGAGAGTTACTATTCGGGATTCATAATTGTGTGTGTAACGAAGGTAGACGATCCGATGGCACTGGAGCCGGAATATTCTCCTTCCGACGGCCGGAAATGGACCGAAACAGAATCGTCGCCGAAGGAGCAGAACGGGTTAACGTGGATGGAGAAGTAAAATGATACCGGATTTAAAAGAAACTGCATAAAACACCGACGGGATACTAATAGTGAGTAGTCCGAGGAGAGGCCCCACTATATGCGGAAATTATACGGAGTACCTAATTCTACGGTTTATTATAAATGTTATTTACATTATCCCCCTTAAGATTCAGATTAGTACCAACTAACCCCTAAGTATAACAAAGTATTCCCAATTGTCCTCCCTTTTCACTATTGTGCTTTTATTTTCAATTTGTTCTCTTAGTTGTTTATAGTTTCAAGGATCAAGTCTTATGGTGACATTGAAAGTCTATGTATCAAAATATTTTTTTGTATCTATATTTTGCAACTCACTTAACTTCTCTCTCTGTGCATTCATCGTACTCTGGCACTCCTCATTGCTTCCTCCACTTTTTCCTGGCCGTCATAACATTTTATGCATGCAAAATAGTTCTTTTGTTTGCTGATTTTTAATTGATATGTTTGTATTTTTACTTTGTCAAGAGCAAATAACAAAATGGAAATGTCGAAAAAATGGCGATTTCACATATTAGAATACATCTCCATTTATATGTCCTCTCCAACAAAAATTCAAGAATTGAGTTCGGTGTGTCCTATTATGCAATACTAATGGAGACTATTGATGTATGGATGGAAACACCTATGAACTTTACAAAATCGGAGTGAATGATGGTTGGGTTTTGAGGACGAAAATTAATACCTCCCATCTGTTGCTTATGTGGCAAGGGTGCTATTTTTGAACGGTTTTCATGTGCAAGGACTAATGCCACATCAAAACCCTTAGGTTGGGGAGCCTACTCCAAAAACAATTACAATATGAACAAATTTGCAACCGACCCAATACTTTGGGGACTAATAGTGTAACTTTCCATTTTAGCAAAATTGACACTTTATCGGCCCTCGGGACATAGTCTAGTGGTGCAAAGGACATGAATGAAATTATCTCACGCTTTGTTGACAGTCGCAATGTGGAGGTTCGATTCCTGATGCATGGAATTGGATTTCTTATAGGCGCAGTGTACATGCAACTCTTGTTCTCTGGTCTGTTGGGGCACATCCACGATTTACCTCTTTCACAAATCTCTAGAGACGGGACGAAACGGGGCGGGGTGCCCTCAAGGTTGGGGTTCAACCTTTTTTAAAATTGACACTTTATCCAACTAAATGAAGACCATTTGATTGAAAACCGTAAAAGAAACCTTCCTTGAAAAATTGGACTCTTTCATTGGGAAGCACTAAGCAAGTGCATATCGCAAGGGAGTGAAATTCGCCTAATCAAGACCGCTACCAAATTCCTAATATTAGCTCTATAAATATACATTTCTCCAGAAATTGTCCATCTTTCTACCTGGTTAATATCCATGAAAGAACATCCAGATATTTACATATAATTATTTGCTTATATGTTCACGATGAGCTCGGGAGATGAAGCCTCTCAAACAATTTCAAAGAAATCCAAGAAACCCCAATGTACATTTCTTTCAAAATAAAACTATCGATTATCTTTCTCTTTTATTTCTTGAATTTTATTTATGCAACTAATAATCATTTAATTTATGATTGATTATATGCATGGATAATTTGTTACTGGAAAAATATTTTTGCAAATTCTTACATGATAATGTCTTAGAAAAACCTTGTGTCGATACAAGATCATATGAATTGTTTTTAATATATGAAGAATGCATTGTCTTTGTTACCTTTATCAGAAGTATTTTTCTTGAAAATCCTTATTCTTACTATTATCACTGACCATATTATTCGATTGGAACGAGAACATATACCCCATTTATACAAATTTCTTATGTTTTCCAGATTCCAGATTTACTCAGCAAGAACTTCCTGCTTGCAAACCAATATTAACTCCCGGATTGGTACGGTTCCAATCCCGTCGATCCACTTGATTATGAAGTTTTCGTTTCAAAGTTGTGGATTAACTTTTGGTTTTGCATCTAATTCAGGTCATAACAACCTTGATCTCTATCGGCATCATATTTGTTCCTATTGGCCTCGGTTCCTTGTCTGCATCCGAACACGTAATATTCTAACATATTTTCTTGTTGCAGTCTCTTCCCAGCTTCAATGGTTAGTAACAATTATCCTTAGTATTAGAGAAGTTTCTCTTGTTATCACACTTAGGTGGTGGAAATTATCGATCGGTATGATGACGCTTGTGTTCCTTCAAATGGTGACGACGAGGCAGCAAAGAGTGAGAGGCTTTCATTCATCCAGAATGTGAAAACAAATAAAACCTGTATCAGGAATTTAGTTGTCAGTTTACTCCCTTCTAACCTTTCGTATTAATACATGAGCATTTTTCTCTCCTTAATTAATTTAATTTTATAATACAACTGTTGGACATGTTTCCAGATTCCAAAGAAGATGAAGCATCCTATTTATGTATATTATCAGCTTGACAACTTCTATCAGAACCATCGACGGTATGTTAGAATCTGGGAAACTCATTTTATTTTCCTTTTAATTTCCACTTTTTATCATATGGAAAATGATTCATGTAGTCGACCCCTAATTTCTTGACTTGAAACTACAATTTGGTGCAGATATGTAAAAAGTAGAAGTGATAGGCAATATCAGAGCCCCAGATTTGAGAGAGAAACAAAGACTTGTGATCCTGAGTCTGAAAACGATGATCACACACCTATTGTTCCATGCGGCCTAGTTGCGTGGAGTTTATTCAATGACACATATCGGATTTCTACTGAAAACAATCCTATACCAATTAACAAGAAAGACATTGCTTGGCAAAGTGACAAGAATTCTAAATTTGGGTCTAATGTCTACCCTAAAAATTTCCAAAAGCAAGATCCAGTCGGGGGTGGAAAACTTAATGAAAGCCTACCTGTAAGTCCACTCCCCCTTTTCTCTATTTAATTCTACCATATATAAATAAGACTCAACAAATACTTATACTTGATTTCTTCAATGTTGAACTCATTTCTAATGAACTTTCATAAGCCATATCTGAATTAAAATGTTTCGCATGACACTAGCAATTCGTTTCAAGGTTGGTCCAGTGCTAATAGAAGTTGCTATTTCCTACTAGCAAAGGAAAAGGGCAGGTTTTATTCTTCCTAAAATTGTTTTACATACATAACATGATCAGTTTGATTCAAGGTCCGGCACTAATAGAAGTTGCTTATTTTCCTTGTAGCAAAGAAAAAGACAGTTTTCTCCTAGTCTGATCAATTCACACAACTTGAAAGTTTAAAAATTCAAAGTAAATCGTTCCCATCTTATTTCTCTATAAAGCTGAGATACTTGAACTCACTCATAGTAGCAGTAGTAGACTAGCGTTAAGCTTCTTTTTCTCGTTTAGTACTTTCTAATGCATTTTAATCCCATCTGAGCAAACATGCCATTATAGTATAAGTTCTGAGCAAACATTGCTTGATATTTATTTCTTTATCTTCCATATATTTTCTCTTGATTCATATTGTTTCGTCCTTGTGATTTCATGTAATAGTTGAGTGAGCAAGAAGATCTTCTTGTTTGGATGAGAACTGCAGCATTACCCAATTTCCGAAAGCTATATGGGCGGATAGAGACTGATTTGGAAGCCAACGAGAACATAACAGTAGTAATACAGAACAATTATAACACATATTCTTTTGACAGCAAAAAACAGTTAGTACTTTCCACAACTACTTGGATTGGTGGGAAAAATGACTTTCTTGGCAAGGCATACATCACAGTTGGTGGAATTTGCTTGTTCCTTGCAATAGCTTTCATATTAACATATGTCATCAAGCCCAGGTGAATATTTTCCTTTACCTATTTTCTTTATATATATTTTGCAGGAAAAAATAACCCTTTATAGAAACCATCCTCTCAAGTGCATGGTTCATCGCCCCCAGAGTTTATGACCTTTTCTCATATGTTTATGCAAAAATATGCTATGCTTTTGGAGTTATGTAGAGCAATGTTTTTCAACCATCTCTGGAAGTGGTTGCCTGGATTTTGTACTCTTTTTTTTTTTTAATCAAACCACCACGAATAGGGGATATATAACGTGACCTCGAGCTTTTGAAAATGCAAATCAGGACAATGGACCAGTATAGTAAACTAGAACTAAAGATGAATTAGCCTACACTATATCTTGTGTGTTCACTGGCGAAGTTAGGAATTTACTGTTGGGGTTAAATTTGTTTGGTTTCTTTATAAGACGTCTTTGGTATTGAAAAACTGTCAAATGACGATTTTAAAATAGAGTCATGCTACTTGTACAATCATTTCTTACAATATTAGTTGACAATCATACTTGTCAACATTACATTCATTCATTTCAAAAACTGTTTTTAAAATTAATGGATCAGATTTGGACAATAGCTCATCCATTATTGTCCACAACAATTGTACAAGCAGATTAATTCAAATTATTTTATTTGTTTAGATTCAATAACAATACTAATTTTATTATTAAATTTGTATTTTGATGTAACCTCTTTGACTTATTTTTGGACCATGCTCTTGACTCAACAGAGTTGGTATTTAGTATTGTTTCAAAGTATTCATAGTAAACTTTGTAAAACATCCTTCCAGTTGAACATCATTGAATGGTGAGTTTAGATTAACAACCCAAAGATGGATGCAAGAAGTAGAACTAATAATACTATATTTATCTCTTAATTCTCATTTTGGTGACTTATTTTCGTACTTTGTTATTCACTTGTCGGAATAGATTCTTGGTACGCATTAATGTATTCATGGAAAACTTCGCAATGCACCTTTCGAATTGGAAAACGACGAGCCAAAAATAGCAGCTGGAAATGAATTTAATAATTTGATTTCATTCCTTTTTTAGACATCCTGCGTGTGCTCTCATGATGCTTTTTGTCATCATACACTGAGTTAGGTACTTGCTTGATTCTGTATGATCCTATACCGATTTTCATTTACATGGATTATAGTATAAATCTAAAACAATTGCCAGTTGAATTTTGATAATATTGAAGTAAAGAAACCATCTATTTCACTTAAATCATATGGAACAATTGTTTGATGACATACTT